CCGCAATGACGCAGGCACAACGAGACGCCAGTGTTCCTGTATCCCTTCCCTCCACATCAGTAACCCATCTCGGAGAGCAGTTTCCGAAATACCACCCGCACCGACTTCCTTACCCGCCTTCTCCGTTCGTTTTCGCAACGACACCAAAGATTCGTCCAACATTTGCTCCCGAATCCACACAGACCTTGGAAGACGCAAAACCCCGTCAGCCGGTCCCCCATCAACCGGTCCCGGTGTAAGCGGAGTTTCGGGAACATCCACTGCCAGCGCGACAGGCTGAGGGGGGGGCTGAGTCGGTCCACACCTATGCGTCCCCGACGCACACGCACAAGGGGATCGTTGCGGCAACCTGGACAGTGCGTCCGCGTTAGCGTGACGCACACCCTTCCGATGGTGAATTTGGAAGGAGAATTCTTGCAACGTGTCCAGCCATCTCGCCAATTGTCCGGATGGCTGGTCCATCTTAAGAGCGTACTGCAAGGCCGCATGGTCCGTGCGGACAATAAACGACCGACCGTACAGATACGGTCGAAATTGTCGGAGAAAAAACACAATAGCCAAAAGTTCCCTGCGAGTGACGCAGTAACGGGTTTCCGCGGGAGATAAAACCCGACTCCCATACGCCACCACACGCTCAACACCACCTTTTGACTGGGACAACACCGCCCCAATACCAGTGTCACTCGCATCAGTATCCAGAATGAAGGGATGTTCAAAATCCGGATAATCCAACGTCGGCGCAGTAGCCAGTAAATCGCGCAGGCTCCGAAACGCCGCCTCCTCCGGCGGTCCCCACACAAATTTATGCCCCTTCCCAGTAAGGAGATGCAAAGGCCTGGCGATAGTAGCGAAATTCGGAACAAACCTCCGATAATATGAGGCGAACCCCAAAAACCGACGCACATCACCCACCGTGGCCGGGGTTGCCCAATCCCGGACACAAGCAGTTTTCTCTGGATCCGTGGCCACCCCGTCCGCACTAACAATATGTCCCAAGTATCGAACGGAGCGTTGCAGTAAATGACATTTCTTAGGCTTGAATTTCAAATTAGCAGAACGCATTCTGGCGAATACAGCCTCCAACCGCAGTAAATGCTCATCAAATGTGCGGCTGAAGACTATAATATCATCTAAATAAATGAGACATGTCTCCCACTGCAACCCCGTCAACACCAACTCCATCAACCTCTGAAAAGTGGCAGGGGCAGCATTCAACCCCATCGGAAGACAGTTAAATTGGAATAACCCCTGCGGCGTACGGAAAGCTGTCTTTTCTCGCGAGGGCTCGTCAAGGGGGAGCTGCCAGAAGCCCGAAGAGAGATCTAGCGTTGAAAAAAACTTAGCCCCTGACAAGGCGTCGAGAGAATCGTCCATACGCGGCAGGGGATACGCATCTGCCACCGACACTTTATTCAGCTTCCGAAAATCCACACAAAATCGCAATTTACCATCCTTCTTTTTAACCAACACAACAGGCGCGCCCCATGGGCTATTAGACGGAGATATAATATCCGCTTTCAACATGTCTTCCACTGCCCCTCGAACATGCTCACGCTCAGCCGGACTCATCCGACGCGAGTTCAACCGGATAGGGGCAGCGTCCCCCGTGTCGATATGATGAGAGAGAAGCGAGGTGCGTCCCAAGTCCAAATCGTCCGAGCTAAACACATCGGAATAGCTCGATAATAACTTATGAATCGCACAACGCTGCTCGGTGGAAAGGGCCGAATTTTCCCCACATAATTCGGCGATCCAACGATCATCAACCCCTCCATCGTGTGAAACACCACCCACAAGCCCCCCGTCCGGCAGGTCACTCTGGGCCGTAAACGCCGTAGTGGCATGTGCCACAACGGTACCAGCTGGCACACACACGCTTTCAGCACTCGCATTTAACACCTGCAAAAACGGGCGCTGATCTGGACGGACAATAGTTTGCGCCCCTACCAGCGCTAAGCCGCCCGTAACCGCGGCGGACGGCGACAGCAAAATCCCAAAAGCACCCTGCCGACCCGGAACCGGCTTCCGGTATCGTAAGGGAATGAGCATCTGAGAGCCAGGTGGAATATCAACCGAAACTTCCGATAGCGCCTGCACCTGGGCGACAGGAGCCGGTCGCCCCCAGGCGGACTGTAAAAATTCCAATTTCCGGCCCCCCGGTAGTTCTATGCAATTTTCATTGATTCTAATTAGAATGGGCATCTTAGCCAAAAAATCCGTACCCAACAGGCAAGGAACCGCCAGGGACCTCGAAATCAACACAACGCCCGAGGCCGAGACACCCCCGATAGAAATGTTAGCGTCCACCTGTCCCACGATGCCCATACTACCCCCGTTCGCAGCGATGCAGGAAGCGTAAGCCGGCCTCACGGCCCCCGGTGGGATGTTCAAAAGATGGAATATCACATCCGAAATAATGGTCGCGGACGCACCGGAATCCACCAAAATACGTACGTCCACCCCTTGGATGGACCCAGGTACAGTGGACGAACCGGTAGCGGCCGCGACAACCCGCCGAGCCAGCTTACGCCACTGCGTTATCGAGCGACAAGGCTCAGATACTGGCCTCCCGTATTTTACAACATCCGCGTCGCATAACAACGGCGATGAGTGAGGTGTCAGGCCTTGCCGGGTGTCTGGTGCGCACCGACTTGCCTGTGCCGGAGGGTCTTTCTTTGGGGCGTCCGCTGTCGAGGCCTCCTGCTGGGGCGGCCCCGGAACCCGGGCCCAGCAGTCCCTGGCATAGTGGCCCCGACGGCCGCAGCGGAAGCAGTCGACGTCGGGGCGGCGCGCAGCGGGCACCCCGTCCCGACGCGGCCGCGCCGGCGGCGGAGCCCGCGGCCCTGGCCCGCTTCGAGCCGGCCACGGAGTGGAGGCGGCCGACAACTCCTTTGGGCCGGTCGCATCCGGCACGTACACGGCCTTCGTAGGGTCCCACCCTACGGCCCCCCCATCGACGACAGGACCGCCCGTCCACGCCGTCACCTGTTTCCAGCGGCGGAGATTGAACTGGGCGTCCAAACACTTGGCCGCGGTCCGGGACGTGAGTTTTTCGTGACCGCACGCCTGCATGGGAATGCCGAGATCTCGGGACAACTCCAACATCTTCCCCAAGATGAGTGGTTCCAGCAGGTCAGGCTCCGTCTCCGGGTAAGCGGCCATAGCGAGTTCCAACACGGCGCCCCTGTACGCTACAGGTGACTCCTCAGGTGCGCGTTGCCGCTGCACGAATCGGCGATGGGCGTCATCCGGTGGCTCGTACGCGTCCGCCATTTCCTCGAACACCCCTCGCAGAGTTTTCTTCTTCGCAGCTTTTATAGAGCGAAAAAAACGAACGGACTCATCATCAAGAAGAGTCGGGAGCACCTCCAGTGCCTCAGCGTCCGTCCACCTTGCCGTACGTACCGCCGCCAAAAATCTGCAGGCGAACGCACTCCAATCGCCCCCGATGGAGAACTCTTTGACGGTTGTAAGGTGACGACTGCGACTCCTTGGCTTGCTTCCGTCCGTCGCTGACTCTTCCGGCGGTAAGTTCAGCAAGGCGTCGCAACGCTGTGTCGCCAAAATGGCGGACGATCCTCGCGGCGGCCCCAAAATGGCGGCTTCCCGCCTTCCGTGGTGCGCCACGCCCAAGATGGCGTCTTCACGCCGCGTGGCCGATGGCGGCGCCATCGAAGACGACCCGGGCTCCTGCCGATCACCACCATCACCTTCCAACGCCGCCCTTGGCGTGACAAGGTCACACAACTCTGTGATGACGGTTTTTAGGGTTGCCAGTTGCTCCGCCATCCGGATCCATCTTAAATCTTCGTCCTTCAACGCAGATGGGTCGGACGAAGGGGCCACCTCCTCGACGCCCGGGCCCTCACGGATCTCTCCCTCCGCCGAAGTGAAGCCGACCTCAGGAGGAAGATCGTCGTCGTCCGAAGATGAAGCCGACGCCGGGGATGGAATATTCTTTTTCCTCAGTTGTTTCGCCATGCCGTTTCACTTCTGACTCCAGTGTAATAAAAGGACTCGGACACTTCCTTCTGTCTTCGTGTCTTTTATTGGGTTCTCGTCCTCACCCACACGGCACTCTGTTATAACTCTGTATTTGTAGCCCCCGGCTATTCACTGCTATTATAGCTCCTTCTTCCCTCTGACTCTCTGCTTCATCTACTGTAACCTCCTCCCTGCAGACTCGCTGCTACCTCTATGCAGACTCCCGCTGCTACCCCTATGTGCAGACCCTCTGGCTGCTACCGTATGCAGACCCGCTGCTGACTCTGTATGCAGCCCCGCTGCTGACTGCAGCCTCCTCGCTGCTTCGGGTCGGTCACCGCTGGCCAACGGTGCCGATCCTCGCTCCTGGTGTTCGTGGCGATCTCGCCACCCTCCGCTTCGCCCTTCGTGGCCTCTCTCTGTTCCTGGTTCCCCGTCACTCCCGTCCTCTTCCGGTTCCCCTCCTTCTATAGCCTAACCCCTCACCCCCCCACGTGACCTAACTCCTCCCCTCCTGACGTCACCTCCGGAGGGCCGCTTACGCCCGCATTACATATGGACAATGTTAGTCTATGGACAATGTTAGTCTATGGACAATGTTAGTCTATGGACAATGTTAGTCTATGGGCAATGTTAGACTATGGACAATGTTAGTCTATGGACAATGTTAGTCTATGGGCAATGTTAGTCTATGGACAATGTTAGTCTATGGACAATGTTAGTCTATGGGCAATTTTAGTCTATGGACAATGTTAGTCTATGGACAATGTTAGTCTATGGGCAATGTAAGTCTATGGACAATGTTAGTCTATGGGCAATGTAAGTCTATGGACAATGTTAGTCTATGGGCAATGTAAGTCTATGGACAATGTTAGTCTATGGGCAATGTTAGTCTATGGGTAATGTAAGTCTATGGGCAATGTAAGTCTATGGACAATGTTAGTCTGTGGGCAATGTAAGTCTATGGGCAATGTAAGTCTATGGGCAATTTTCGTCTTTGGGCAACGTGAGCACCATCAGTACTCCGCTCCGACTCCATCCACCACCTTCCCGGTGCCGCACCCGAGCATCCGTCGGAGGTGGCGACGGATCTCCTTGTCGCGCACGCCGTAGATGAACGGCGCGACGAACCTGGAGACGATGAACAGGAGCATGTAGACGCACAACCTGACGACGCTCGACACCTGCACGTCGGCTATCAACGAGCCCAACGCCAACATCAAGGCTTCGTTCGCGACCGACAGCGCGTACAACAGGTACTGGACGCCGTGGAACGCGACGGTGCTGCGCGCCTTCCTGGCGCCCGACGCGTCCCCGCACGCGCCCCGGGCCACCCGTACGATCTTCACGTAGGTGAACGCCAGCGTGAGCACGCTCGCCGTCAGGAAGACGCCGTTCACCAGCTCCCGGAGCACGACGATGAGCGGCCCAAAGTTGGGCAGCGAGCCCTCGATCTTGTCGACGGAGCACCTCGTGTAGTTGACCGCCGACGACATTTCGCCGCTACTCGCGAACACGATGGCGCACCTCGCGAGCGGGAATAGCGAGGCGGCGAACCAGATGACGCCGAGCGAGGCGACGGCGAGGCGTCGGTCGAAGCGCGCCTGGTAGCGCAGCGGGTGGCACACGGCGGCGTAGCGCTCGAGGGACATGAGGGCCAGGCCGAGGACGCCCACGTGGTTGAGGGTGGTGGCGAGCATCGCGTAGGCGTAGCAGGGCAGCGGCGGGATGGTGACACCACGCCACACTAGCAGGACGACGACGTCGGAGACGACGAGGAAGCAGGCGTCGCTTAGCAGGAGGTTGGCGAACACTACGTGACGGTAATTGTCACGCAGCGGCGTGGACAAGATGGCGGCGAGGATGCACGCGATAGAGCACAGCGACGGCAGCATGGCGGCGGCGTTGACGATGTGCAGGACGTCGCGCGCGAAGCCGTAGTTGACGGCGCTTGCGGTCGTGCCGTTGGTGAAGGCCGCCGCCGCTGCTGTTGCTGCCGTTGTTGTCGCTGCTGCGTTCGTTTCGGCCATTTTTCGGGGTATGAGTAAGGGTATAACGCTCGATAAAAATGTATCGGGGAGGGGGGGAATACTAATGTCAAATTTTGACGTATGTTTTTGGGGGTTTTCGTCTGTTAAGTTGATATTTGACAATTTCTTTGCGATGATGGATGGTAGAATTTAGTACTTCGTTTTTTGTTTTACTTTGATTGCGCGGATGATCATATATCCTGCAGGCCAAAAAAACAACTAAGATTCTGCCCCGCAAGTAAAATTATTGCCCGTATTTAATTAACACTGGCCAAATGGATACGTATGCCTCCTTGTCAGTGGATGTGCATCTTTAAAAAAAAACTGTTGGGGGAAAAAAAACGAAGGCAATGTTGAAACAAAGTGTCTAACACGTTAGTAGTAATCTTAATTTTTGGAGCTTTCGTGACTGCAGGAATTATTCTTTGTTTTTTTCGGTAAAGTCACGTATCAAGATAAAATAATAAATTAAATAATAGCATACGACGTTTCGATTGCAACACAAGCAATCATCATCAGGTATAATGAAATAGCGACATAGAATCTAACCAGAAAAAGTCTGTCTGTAGTTTTCTGGTTAGATTCTATGTCGCTATTTCATTATACCTGATGATGATTGCTTGTGTTGCAATCGAAACGTCGTATGCTAGTATTTTATTTATTCTTTTATCTTTATACGTGACTTTACGTTAGTAGTAGTAAGAGGCTTTCACGACCAATGTTATTCATCATAGAGGGGTTTTGGGGTTAGATCCCGTAAATATAAATGTGTCGTTAAACCCGCGACCAACTCTGGCTGTCGCCTGATGATGCTGGTTGTTGTAATTTCCGGTGAAACGTCACGCTACTCAATTTGTAAATGTTGCAGTGTGGTTTACTCTCCAGCACACAAGCGGTTAGTGCTGTACTAGTAACGAATTGGCCACGTTTTGTTTACGTGACAAACCCCTTCAATCATTGGCTGTGTCGGGTGGTGGTGGCGAGTATAACGACACATTTATATTTACGCGATCTAACCCTGTTATGAAAGTTAAACAAAGTTATCCATTTATGCATTATCACAACATCACAACAACAAGCACAACAATCACTCTTATCTCTCTGACCTCTCTATCAGAATCAAAATATTTATTTATACTGCAGGAGGAGGAATCCGATGAGCTATGAAGCTCTTTTTGTTCACAGACGTCCAGTAGGGGCATGGCGTCAGAGCTTTACAACAACAACAAACAATACACAAATGCACGATAGGAGTGCAAAGTATAAGGAAGGTAAACAACTCATTTAAAGAAATATAAAAATACAACTCAACTCTTTTTAAATCCTTTATATTAAGTTCGCTTGCTTGCTTGCTTATGACCGTGCAAATCTTTCGGTCGTTTTTTAACCCACTTCCCGTGATCCAATCGAGCTGACATTTTGCACACAGACTCGTTGTGCGAGACAATTAGTGTTCGTGAAAATGTTTTTTCAAAATTTTACACTGTTCAGGGAAAACAAATTAAATATGTATTTACCAATTGCTTAATACTGGCAGACAATCATCTGACCCATAGGTGGCAGCCATCTCAAGCCAGAGGACGAGAGGACTCTAGCCGCCCCGATGCCACGCATATAAAGGAGTTATAGTGAAAAACTTTGTTTTTACGGGTTATACTTGTTTATGTTTCCAGATAAAGCCCACTGAGGTATTAACTTGTTTCTTTCAGAAGCGACCTGGCCACAAATGGTAGCTCAAAAAAGGTGATTATCATCATGTGGACATTTACAGCAGCCAGATCATCTAAATCACCGTAACGCTTGTTTCTAAATGTGAAGGGGAAAAGCGGAGGACCCGGAGAAAAAAAAATCCACGGGACCACAGGGTGAGAGACACAAACCCAAAATATTTAGGCGTCAAGGTCGGGATCGAACCCACGGCATCCTGTATACCAGGCGAGGTAGTTAACATACAAACTGCACACATGCAAACTCCAAATATAAAACAGGCATCGTCAGGTTCGGGATCGAACCCACGACATCCTGCATACCAGGCGAAGTAGTTAACATGCAAACTCCAAATATACAGCACCAGGCATCGTCAGGGTCGGGATCGAACCCACGGCCTCATGCACGCCAGGCGAGGTAGTCAACAGTGACCGTCTTTGTTAGTGCTAGAAGAAGAGCCATTGTCCGAAACGTCGCCTATTATATATACTGTATACTTATTTTGTTATTTTAAGGCCATATACAAGGTGTTGTTATCGACACGAAACGTATCGAGTTCATTGTCAAGCTGTGCTTGTGCACCACTGGCAACGCAGCATCAGCATCACCAAAATCAGGAGCGCCACGGTGGCGAGGAGACGTCAACTTCACCGCTTGGTATGAAGGAGGACGTGGGTTCGATTTGCTTGCTGTACATTTGGAGTTTTCTCTTTTTCCATGTGGTCGCGTGGACCTTTCTCACGGTCCTCTGGTTTTTTCCCCTGCACATTTCGAATCAACGTCACCCGTTTAGAGTGCGTGGCTGCTGCTGTATATTTCCATACGATAACCCCACTTTTGTTGAGCTGTAACTTGTGAAAGCCAGGTCGCTTCTGAAACAGAACAAATATAGCTCAGTGGGGCCTTGCCTGGTTAAAGAAAGAAACTGTTTAGAGTTGTATCGATTGTTTGTCATATATAAAAAAAAGATTTGCTGGCTGGCTGGCTGACCCCTATCACTACCCCAACTCCTATCACTACGCCAACCCCTATCACTACCCCTATCACTACCCCAACCGCTCTCACTACCCCAACTCCTATCACTACCCCAACTCCTATTACTACCCCAACTCCTATCACTACGCCAACTCCTATCACTACCCCAACCCCTATCACTACCCCTACAACTATCCAAACCCTTATCACTACCCATACCCCTATCACTACCCCTATGACTACCCTAATCATTATCACTACCCTAACCTCTATCACTACCCCTACCCCTATTACTACCCCTACCCTTATCACTACCCTAATCCCTATCACTAACCTAACCCCTATCACTATCCAAACCCGTATCACTATCCAAACCCCTATCACTACCCTAACCTCTATCACTACACCTACCCCTATTACTACCCCTACCCTTATCACTACCCTAATCCCTATCACTACCCTAACAATTATCACTACCCTAACCCCTATCACTACCCCTACCCCTATTACTACCTCTTCCCCTATCACTATCCAAACCCCTATCACTACCCTAACCTCTATCACTACCCCTACCCCTATTACTACCCCTACCCTTATCACTACCCTAATCCCTATCACTACCCTAACCATTATCAATATCCAAACCCCTATCACTACCCTAACCCCTATCACTACCCTAACCCTTATCACTACCCCTACCCCTATTACTACCTCTTCCCTTATCACTACCCTAATCCCTATCAATACCCTAACCCCTATCACTACCCTAACCTCTATCACTACCCATATCCCTATTACTACCCCTACCCTTATCACTACCCTGACCTCTATCACTACCCTTACACCTATCACTACCCTACCTCTATTACTACGCCTATCACTACCCAACCTCATCTATCACTATCTCTATTACTACGCATTTCACTACCCTACCTCAACCACTCCCACGTGTTCTCCTGTCACCATAACTACATCACCACCACTTTAAATAACAACCCGCTCTGCATCGTCTGTACAACGTCCCGATTGTTGTATTGCGCCTTGGTTTAAAGTGCTGCTATATAGTACATCTAAATAAGATTAAACGTGTGGCGAGCACCAGGACAAAAAGGGAATGGTTCTCTCTCTCTCTCCACCTTACTATAATGATAATTAAACTAAAACTACTTTTTATTTCAACAGGTAAGGCTCACTGAGCTATGTAGCGCTTTTTTTCAGAAGCGACCCTGGCTATCGCAAATGATTGCCCAAGGCAGTGGCTTCATCGCCACGTGGAAAGTTATAGCAGTCGCCACTCTAAATGCGGCGCGGTGATGTCGATTCTAAACGTGGAAGGAAAACTCGGAGGACCCGGGAGAAAAATCCACACGACCACAAGAAGAGAAAACGTGCACACATAGAGAAGTAGGCAGTGGCGGAGCCAGGATTTTCAGGTAGTGGATGGGGGGGGGGCAACCTCTCCAGCAATGAAAAATGATAAAGGAGTTCTTCTTGGTTCTTTCGGTAAAGTCACGTAGAATGGAAATAATAAAATAATAAAAATAAAACATAATAAAATAACAAATTAAAGTCATCACGTAGAAGGGAAATAATAAAATAATAAAAATAAAATATAATAAAATAACAAATTAAAGTCACGTAGAAGGGAAAAATGAAATAATAAAAATAAAACATAATAAAATAATTCTCACGACGTTTCGGCCGCAACGCAAGCAGCCGTCCTCAGGTGAAGAACAGGTCTGTCGAGAAGACAGAGTCTGAATGACAATAGTCTGACCTGTTCTTCACCTGAGGACTGCTACTTGCGTTGTGGCCGAAACGTCGTGAGAATAATTTTATTATCTTTTATTTGTATTATTTTATTATTTCCATTCTACGTGACTTTACCGAAAGAACCAAGAAGATGAATCCCTGCAGTCACGAAATCTTTAAATCGAAAGATAAAGAAGTTGTTAGTAAGTAAGGACTTGTCCCTTGCTTTTTATTCGACGCGTGTGCGACGATGGCGCGGCCATCGATCAAGGGTCGAATCCGAACCTGCGTCGTGTGATCGGCATCGCGCTCGATGAAGGTGATGATGCCTTCAGGGAAGTCGTGTACCGTATACGCAACTGCGCACAATTCTGTGAGTCACTTTTAACTGCTTTGCCGCTACTTATTGCCAATTATGGACTCAGACTATTGTCTTATCATCTCATAGAGTTCCTGGCACATAATAATAGGCTGCACAATAGCAGTGGTGGTCGCAAAATGCCGATTTATTACTAATAAACCCCAATTATCGGATCGAAATATTAAAAAATTCACTAACACATGGG